GTGTGTCTGCTGTCCTTTGGTTGGGTTTGCCCTTAAGGCCGTAGAGAATTTGCTCCTTTCAGTCCCGTGCAGATGCAGCAGTGCTGAATTAGTGGTAATTAATTAATGGCTTCATGTTCCGAGCCCCCGGCGTTTCCCGTTGGCTGTGATCCCCTGTTGGCGTTGTTGAACTTTGGGTAGCTGCAATAAATGTAGAGCTGGACCAGACCCGGCGTGCATCGAGTGCTTTCACTGCTGAGCTCGGCCCTCGGGGAGAGATGGGATTTCCTGCCGTGGCTGGGGTCTGTGGGGTTTGTGGGGTTTGGGGGGTCTGTGGGGTTTATGGGGTTTATGGGGTTTATGGGGTTTATGGCACAGCAGGGTCGGGATCCTGCGGGGTCCCAAGGGTGTGTGAGAGCAGGGAGCTGCCCCGTTCTGTGCTCTCTGTCCCATCCCATCCCTGTCCCCATCCCATCCCCATCCCTGTCCCTGTCCCTGTCTCAGCCCTGTCCCCATTCCCATTCCCTGTCCCTGTCCCATCCCTGTCCCCATTCCCTGTCCCTGTCCCATCCCTGTCCTGTCCCTGTCCCATTTCCTGTCCTGTCCCTGTCCCATCCCTGTCCTATCCCATTCCCTGTCCCATTCCCTGTCCCTGTCCCATCCCTCTCCCTGTCCCCATCCCTGTCCCATTCCCTGTCCCCATTCCTGTCCCATTCCCTGTCCCCATTCCCCATCCCTGTCCCTGTCCCATCCCTGTCCCCATTCCCTGTCCCTGTCCCATCCCTGTCCCTGTCCCTGTCCCATCCCCATCCCTGTCCCTGTCCCTGTCCCTGTCCCCATCCCTGTCCCCATCCCTGTCCCCATTCCCTGTCCCATTCCCTGTCCCTGTCCCCGTTTCCCGCGCTCTCCGTGTCCCCGAGGCGCTGCCCACGTGTCCCGGCAGGTGGCGCCACGTGCTCTCTGTCACGTGCTCTCTGTCGTGTGTCCCTGTATCACGTGCCCTCCATCACGTGCCCCTGTGTCACGTGTCCCTGTATCACGTGTTCCCGTCACGTGCCCCGATCACGTGCCCCCTCAGGCATTTTCACGCCCCCCCCCCCTGTTTTCTGTGCAGCTTCATTATAAAAATATTAAATATCAAAATACATTCCTGAGCAAACATCATCCGAATTTTGCCTCCTGGGYCCAAGTCTTCAATTAAGGACCAACCAAAAGCTCCTTCAAACGCAAATTCTCAAGAGTTCGGTTTGTCTGATGGTGAAGTAATTAAAATTAATGAGATATAAAATAACGTAATTATATACACAAGGATTGGATTCTATTGGATCTTGTGCTATTAAAGCAAACAGCTGACATTTCAAAGTGCAAAATTATTCCAAAAGAAATCCCTGTCATGACTTGTCTGTGCTGGGAGAATGGAACCAGAACTCCAAATAATAAATAAAATTTTAGAGCCACCTTGATTTTTCTGAATACTCCAAGTAACAGAGGAAAACAAGACAAAGCCTATCCAAAGTTTACATGTCTAAAACAGCAATGATCGAGTCGCAGTAAATCAGTAATTCCCAGGTTTTATAAAACATTGGAATTTCAGGACATCATCTTTGTGTGTGTCCCCATTTCCCCGACATTGCAGGTTCCTTTGTGGTTATTTCAGGTGGCTCCGAGGAATTTGGGGAACAAAAACACCTCAAATGTCCATTGGGAGATGTGGCTCCGAGAGCATCTCCAAAAATCTGCCTCAGTTTTTAAATCATCGTTTTTGGGAATACAATTGGAGGCAAAGAGGAAATTAATGCGGTTTTCAGTGGGTTATTTGAACAAAATCATCTTTAATTCCCTCTTAGGAATGTTTGATTTTGTTTTCTGTAGCGACAGAGGAGTGTTTTCAGTGTGGTGTCTTTGACTGAAGCTCCTGGTGCTGTGAATGTGGATTTAATTAGAAATTAAATAATCCACCCTCTGGATTATCCTCATTTTTGTGTGTGTGTGTTCACTAGCGAATCATTTTCTGGTGTTTTACCAATATCAAATTTATATCAAWAAATTATCAATTTATTAATATCAAATTTATATTGGTAAATAATTTCTATTGCAGAGGAAATAAATGCCTATTTTTATCAGGAAATACACCTTGTTTTTTATCCCTTTGTGACCCATAAAAGCAATTCCTCTCCACATTTGTTCTGTTTTATTTCCAGAACATCGATTTCTTTGCTCATGCTTTTATTTTAGGAAAAATTGTGTTCATTTTTATGTATTTTGTTCCACAGGTTCTTTTTTTTTTTTTTTTTTTTTCCTGAGACTTCAAAAAAAGTAAAAGTGTTCATCAGCTTTGTTTGAAGTTTTTGCATTCAGAAATAATAATAATATTTCCAGCTGAGTTAGATTAAATGTGTTTGGCTTGTTGGACATTAAAAAGACTCCCTTTAGAAACTTTCCATATCAAAGGAGAGTTGACATAATAATATTTGCAAATTTAGGGATTGTTTGAGGTATTTTACCCTGAAAAAAAAAAAATAAAAAATCATTGTTTGTCTCCTATTGAAAGAAAAATAAGAATTGCTTTGAAGATTTCAGCAATCCCCACGCCCAGGAACGCCTCCTGAATGGATCTCATTCCCCAAAAAAGCTGAAATGTTCTGCTCTGGCTGAACAAATTCCTCTCCGAGTTCTGTCAGAAATGCCCAAAATTCTCCTTCAGTTGTGTGTTTGTTTAAAACAGAAGAACAAAGTCTCTTTTCTCCATGTGTGTCAAAATACACCTGAAACACCTTTTTATGTTCGTTAAAACTTGGGTCATTAAAATGGTTTTATTGTGGAAAAACAGGTTTTTTCTCTTAATCACCTTCTAGTCTTAAAAGATTTTTAGTTTACTGGTGTTTTTAATAAATTTTTAATTTATTAAAATAAATTATTAAATTTATTAATTTATAAATTTTTAGTTTACTGGTGTTTTTAATAAATAAATTTTAATAAATAACAAAATCTTACGATCCATATTGGATTTTTAGGATTTTCATTCCCAGTGTGAAATGCAGGGATGGTTCCAGCTGTTGCAGAGAAGGATGGGAATGTTTGTTTGAATTCCAAACTGCTCTGTCCATTCCTGCTCTGGAATTCTGTGATGATGGAAACCCACAGATTTAAATTCATCTGGGTTATTCCTTTGGAGCTAAATCCCAAAATAACCCACAGTGCTTTGTTACTGCTTCGTGCTCTTAACCCTCCCAATCCAAACCAGAATAAAATCTCTGAAAATGCAACTCTCACTCCCAAGGGGTGGATAAATGTGACCAAATAAATAAATAAATAAATAAATTTATTTACTGACCAATAATAAATAATGACCAATAAATAAATAAATAAAAATTCTTGGAAATTATTGCTGTCACAGCCACAGTGCAGAAACCACACAATGTGTGAAAAACCCCATTAAATCTGTCACTGCTTCAGGGTGCAGGTACAACGCACTTTMAAACATTTAAACAAATGTTAAATAACATTTATTATTCCCAGTGGGATTGAGAAATGAATGATTTTCATGTGGAATTGCAGGTGTGTGATCAGCTATTCCTGTGTTGTGACTC